AAAGTTCACGAATTGAATGTGGTGGTAACTTCTAAGTTTCAATAGACTTCCAAATTTCAAGTTATTTGGTAAAAATTTTTTAATTACAATCAAATATGTATTGGTAAAAAAGAGAGAAACAATAAAAAATAAAACTATTTTTCTGATTTTTTAAAATTAATTATTTAAATATAAGGGTAAAACTTTTGGGCGATCTAGGTCATTTAATTAAAGTGTCACTCTTTCAATTTGAGGAACTAAGAAAATAGATACTTAGTTCATAACTCAGTGAATAAAATTATATTTTATCATAAATATAATTATTTTGAAATTATTTTAAAAATTGTTATTAGGCAAGGGAAGCAAGGCAGGGTACTTTTTTCCCACAACATTTTAGAAATATGATACTTAGGTTGGACAGACTTTGTCTAATTACGCTATCTTTAAATAATTTCGAAATAATTAATTTTAAACAATGAGTTTTTTTTTCCTTACAATATTAACAAATTTGCAACTACGGAATGTTTTTCTCCCGCATCAAAAGAAAAATTGTAAATTTATTTATTTTTAATTTGATAGGTTCGTCCAGATTGTTCTTCTTCCAGCTCTGTGAGCTTTAGGTTCCTTTTCGTGTTTGTAGTTTCTGTTTGTTTGTTATTATCAATAAACTATAATTAATCATATAATTTAACATTTAACGTAATTATATACAAGGTTTAAAATGTCGAGGTCCCGATTTTACGAACATGTTGATGGACATGTCGATATCGATGGATATTTGGAAAAAAATTATTAAATTGTAAAAAATAATAAAAATTATTTTAATTAGTAAATAAAACTATAATTGTAGTTTAATTAAGCTATAATTGATTACTTCTGACTAGCATATGTAAAAATACGAGTAACTTACTTATGAAAATATCGATGTCAATAGAAATGTTGGAATAAGATAATGAAGTGATGAAAATAATTTGAATTAGTAAATTGAAGTTCAATGTTACTTAATTGTGTTTTATTGATAATTAATAATTTATAATCAAATATAGTGTTTAATATGAAATATTGTTATATATCCGCCATGTACATATTATGATAAATTGAATTATTAAAAATAGAATTATAATTTTGAAAATTTTGTAATTAAATTTAAAAATAAAAATTGAAAAAAAGAATTCAATTTAAATAAAAACAGATTAATAGTGAAAATTGAAATTAATGAATAAATTTAAATAATAATAATATTATTATTAATATTATAAATTTAGAATTAAAAAAGAATTAAAATTAGAATTGAATTAAAACAAAAGGGGAGGAAGGTCGTGATTCCCCTCCAGTCCCAATCTCATATTGGAAAGGGACGTCCCCCTCTTTCTTTTCTCGTACCAACGGACTGGGCCTCTTGTGGGGGCTAGTATGTTTCAGTTTTTTTCTTTAATGATATTCTTTAAATATTGCGAAATGTCGATATTCTCGCGACTTTTGACGATATTTTAATATATCGTCGATAAGGGGGAAAAACAATTTCCCCCACGTCGAACCCTTCAAACATTTGTAACACTGGATTATATAACAATATAAAATTGGATACCCCTCCGAGTTTTGACTATTTTCTTCAATAGTGATTTTTCTTAAACTATTTCTAAAAATACACTCTCCATCAAACAATTTTTAATTTTCAAGAATAATGCTGAAGAAAGTAGTTGGTCGAGACTACATGGTTATGTGGTAGGGATGGTGTCTCAAGAGACAACATGTACACCTGGTTTTTTTCCTTAAATTTCAATTTGTCGTTTTTTTAGAAGACAATCATCTCTGCATTTTGGTCACGAGTAGTGAGTAATTGGCCACTTGAGGATGATAACTCAACACTTTATTAAGTTGCAGAGAAGGTCACAGAATAAGGATACATTTGACTAGAACCAATGGTATGATGTGATTTTTTTTTAAATTAGATTTAAGATTTAAATGTTTAATAATAATTAGTTAAATTAATTTTTTTATTAGTATGTTTTTAAGATTTTGTTATATTTTTCAGTTAAATTTAATTTCAGTTTTAAAACAAAAAAAATTGATCGTTTTATATAACTGAATTCTTTAAGAGTTGGTTTGATTTTATTAGAATTTTCAATTAAAGTAAATTTAAAGTTTCTTTTAAATAATAAAAACTTGGGAGTACCACGCATGGATAAAAAGATTTTGCAAAAAAAAAAAAACAGAGAGAGAGAAAATAGTTAAAAGTAAATCAAGCTCCTACAATCTCCAAGATATAGAGAGGGAATTTGAATACTATATACGAACCATAAATATATTACACTACATAAAAAAACTAATTACAAGTCAACTCGTTGCTAAAATGCAGCGATAGTTGTCTATTCAAGAAACGACATATTGAGATTTAGGATGGTTGTATCTCCAAAAAAGCCAGATGTGCATATGGTAATAAGGTCAACAACTATTTTTTTTTTTTAGTACAGTGTAAATGTATCGAGAAGGGGATTCGAATTCACAACGGTGATATATATCAATTACCGCTGAGCTATGCTTGCTCTGAGAAGAAAAAAAAAAACGTCTGAATTTTGTAGGGATAATGAGGGAAAAAAAAATGTTAATAGATAGTGGGCTGTTGGTTACTGTACTACATTCCTCTCACAGAGCCTCTGTTTGTTCAGCCCAATGATTGCCAAAATCCGTCTTCCATCTGYTAGGAAAAATCAGATTTCCAATTTGTTTTCTTTTGGAAAATACTTCACTCTTCGCACTGATTAATTTTTATGCTGATTATCATAAAACGTTTGACAGTCTAACCATTTAAAAAAAAAATTGGATCTTTTTATATTTTTCTCCATTAATTGTCAAATTTAATGATAGATTCTAATTGGAAAAACTTAATCTATGTCTCCAACCCAAAAGGTTGTGAGTCTCAATCCCCATCCCATGTATTTTATTAGAATAAATAAATAAAATAATGAATTACTTTACTAATTTAAAAATTTTAGTACTACGAGAATATGAAAATTGACACACGACCTTAAGAGTAGTGTTTGTCATAACACTGTCATTTAAGAGTAGTGTGAACTTATAAAATAAAATAATCTATTGCTTAAATGATGTGTCAAAGAGCAAATAGAGTTGGTATTAAAAAATTTCCTCAAACCCATCTCCTCCTCCAATCAAACTAAACTAATCTTCCACCATTTCGATTCACTCCTCTATTTTAAAAAATTTATTTATTCGGTCTCTAAAAGGGTAGAATTATCACTTCCAATCCCCTCCTCACTTGATGTACTAAAAAAGGAGTAGAATTATCTTTTCATTTAGTTTTTAGTAATTACTATTTGTCATCAATTCAATTAACATTTAAATTGTTAGAGAGTTTATCCAAAATTTTAATTGGTTTTGTTAGAACTTAAAAATGTGTTAGCATACTCTATTATTAAACATACTTACAAAAGACAAAAGGTACAAAAATGGGGGAAAATGGAATTTAGGTATAGAGGTGAGGCCATGTGAAAGTTTTGGGTGGAATAAATCAATTCATACATTGCTAATTTTTTTAGAAAAGGAAGATAAAGATGATTAAGTGGAGACAAATATAAGGGAAAAAAAGAAGGTATTTTTGGTTATGCAATTATTGTTAGGTAAGAGAGTTGTTGAATGTGGAATTGGAAAAGGACCACCATTTTCTATTTGCCCTATGGCCATGTGCATCCAATTTTAACCCACCCCACCTAAAACCTTCCATCCCAATTATTCAACTTTGTTTCTTTTTTTTCCTTTATTCAACTATTTTTTATTTGTAATATTAGAAGGAAAAA